AACGCTGAGCACATCATCAATGTTGATTACCGTGTTATTTATTTCTAGTAGTATTGCCGTTCATCGAGAGATACAATTTACTTTTACATTTTTTCTACTACTTTATTTATTTAGTCTCGATCGTATGGTAATTATTTTATTAAAACGATTTAAATTTGCATTGAAATGTTGAACATTTTTATAAATGGCCTATTTAGTTGCATCTGATATAAAGCGTGGCACTTGATTTAAGACCGAGAAAATATTAATTCGAATATAAAATGTTTTTGATAGTGATTTAAAGTTAATTATAGTTAGATACCAATCGATTGTAATGTTAATGAGGTTATTGTTATGTTAGGGTGTCAGTGACAGGATTCAAACACCGGCACCCTTCTAGTTTTATTTCGCCCTTTGTACTTTATACCACTTTTGGTGCTATCATCAACTACGTCGCCCTCACATTACCATTATTATTACTTAAGCATTATATGCCAAAGTCATTAGATTGTTTGTCACTTCTACGCACTATTATATGCTCATTCTCATTCTCGGATTATAATTTTTATTTTTGAATGAATAATAATCTTTAAAAAACATACCTGTCTATAAAAAGACAATATGAAATATTACTTTTGCTTCTAATGAATTCGTTCGAAAAACATTTGTTACACATTAAGAGTTTAATTAAATAAAAACTATTTGTTTTTAAATTTAACAACTACATTGTTTTCTTTGTGGTTAATGTAACATTTTAATTTTGATTTTACTAAAATTTGAATGGTATATACTTGAAAAATGATCAAATTCGTGAAAAATGATAAGTATTAAATTGAATTACCTAGATTATTTAATGTACCGGGTAGTACATTTAATAACAGCAGTGATTCTTTGGGATTAGTAAGGGAGAGTGACAAAGCCTTAAGGTGGTTAAAGATTGCTCAGATTTACTTCCAATTTCATTTCAATATAATCTAGGATAATGTTACAGGCGTTAAGATTTAGCCCGAGGGCAAGTATGGCTTTAGACAAATACCCATAAATCCTGTCTACTGACGACACTGATGTTTTTTTGTATTTCATTAGGTTAATTGGATCTCTGGCGACATTGAGGACTCAAGATTCTCACAAAAAGTATCATGTTATTTATTTAATAATGAAGAGTTAACTTGTTTTATTGTATTTGCGCAAAAAAATGTTTTTCTCGAGTATCCCCTCGTGACAAAAAAANCAAAAAAAAAAAAAAAAAAAAAAAAAACGTCAAATGCGACGAGAAGACGACAGGGTACGATATTATACAATACTATTTTGTTTCGATGGATGGGATATAGCAATTACTTGTGTTGTCGGCTCAAATCATAACTCACAAAGGAGATTGATCAGACGAAATTTCAGCGGTGCGAAACGTGTCAACCCTCTTTCTGTTGACAGTTACTGTGTCATAACCTGCTGTAGATATCCACCTTAATTGACGTACAAAAGCTAAAAGACCCCTTAACTTTCCACCTTTTGTTGTTAATTATGATACTTGCTAATAAAGTATAGTTTTAATAATGCGACAAACGAGGCATAAATTTATCTGCCAATATTATTATTTATCGAGCTTTATTCATTTTATTTAACAATGCGACATCAAAACAAGAATTCTTTTGAAGCATCTTAAACATATTATTTAAAAAATTTTCTCGTAAAAAATATATTGTTCGTTTGAGGCATTAATTGTTTATTAAACCTTTCAAATATAATGAAAAGAAATGCACGAAATATTTCATTATAATAAAATCCTGAATATTTAATTCTTATCAGTTAATGAAAATTATCGCACGATACATTTATAATAATTGAATCACAATATATCTACAATTTTTAATATAAATTACTTAAAATCAATGATGAACTTTTAAAAATTCTGTTTTTTATAAATTTTATTTTATTTTATGAGACGAGGCATTAAATTATAATTAAGATGCCTATACAGTAACTCTTTTTATTTTAATATATATTTAAATGTGTTTGTTAGTGTTTTATATGAAATAATTTTAAGTTGAATTNATGTGTTTGTTAGTGTTTTATATGAAATAATTTTAAGTTGAATTCCAAAAAAATTTTTTATTGTAAACATTTTATATAATTTAAATCAATATAAACCAAAACAATTGTATAAATATTAAAATGAACTACGCTTTATGGTTTTAGGCATATTTATATTATTTAAAAATTTACATAAAATAAGTTATTTGAAAGTCATTCTCTAAACATATAATATGTTGATGAACAATTAATCAATNCATTCTCTAAACATATAATATGTTGATGAACAATTAATCAATGTTAATAGTAATAATAATTTGCAACATTGTTAACCTTAGTTTAGTACTATTTATAGATTTTGTTAGTTACAGTTCGTTCAAGTTAAACAGTGTAACATAAATTTTACATATCAGTAAACTTTGTTGTAAATCTTGTCCAATATTATTCAACACTTTTCACATAAAGATTGTTTATTAAAGTTTATCAAGTATTTTTACTTTTGTTAACTCGTTTTATCTAACAAATTCATAATAAATCTAATTAAAAATTTAATTTAAGTATAAATATTTAATTATTTTATAATTATTATTTCATTATATTTCTAACAAAATACAACGACCTCATTTCAACAATTTTTATATTTATTTTTTTATACAATTTTTAAATAACAAAATATATATATATAAATATATATATTAAATAATATTTACAATATAAAACTTTTTATTTTTATTCATTCATGATATTTAATAGAAAAATGAATTAATTTTCGACTTTTAAAATACAAATTGATTTTAGATAATTTTTTATTTATAATATTATCAAATAAAACTATGAATTTTTTAATAATTAATGATCGTTTTAGTATAAATTATGATGTACCTACAATTTATAAATCGGTCAACTCTATTTTTGCAATAATTTGGAACTATTTTGGTATAACAATAACTGTATCGTATGTTTTAGGTATGAGCTGATTACAATACAGTTATTTATTCAAATTAATAAGTCAAAACACAAAAAAAATGTCAAGCAAACCATTTAAATCGGCTAAACATTTTATAAATCACAAATACATCACAATATACAAAATACAATTGTTCTATCCAATGTGATCATGTAATTCAATTACATATTATTATTTATTGTTATGTCACATCCATATAAATTCATGAAAAATATATGTTATAGAGATACTCTTGTTCTGATGCGAAGCCTAAGTAAATAGTATGCTGCTAATCGAAAAATGACCAAGTTGATGAGTAATGCAATAATGTCTTTGCCAAACTGATCTACCGGCATGGCAACTTCTTTTAAAAACTTAGTAGAATACTTGTAATGACAGTACAATGTGTTGCAAGTAAGAATATCACGACCATTATAAATTGTCGATACAATTGCTTCAAGTGCATATCTTAAGAACGATATATAAGTACCCCATTTTAAGTAATCTGGTATATCACGAACATTTACTCCGAAACCGCTAAACATCATTAGCACTACTACTATAATTGGTCCAACGAAATTGCCGTTCTAAGAGATAAAATGATTACATTATATAAGAAAAAATTGTATCATTTATAATTGAAATGATTTATTATACAAGTTATTCGTTTGTTATAAATAAAAAAAAATTCTCTTAGATTTTAAGGAAATTTACAAAATTAAAACTATTAGTAATAGGGTTTATAAAACTTACCACCACGTTAAACCAAACTCCAACAATAAATCCCAAACTTTGAGCAGTCAATACTATAAGCCAACATGTGAACGTAAACATACTAAACCGATACCAATTCATTGGTTGGCCAGTCATAGTATAAATTATAACCGAAAATATTAAGCAACCTAGTGTCTGAAAAAAGTTAAATTTAACCCAGAACTCATATTTTAAGTATTAATTATTTACCGTAATCGGAATGTCCAAAATATTTGTTGCAATGTAATATACTTTTAAAGAGTACCATCTATTAAAATGTTCTTTAGTTACAATGGAAATTTCACTTGGAACTATAAAAATATATAACGATTACTGTTCATTTTTATTGTACTAAACTGGTCGAAGAAAGAGGAGAATTAAGTAAATTCATTTTTATCAACTACATTATAATTATTTTGTTTTAATCTCAGTATTATGGTTATTCACACTTATAATTACAGTGCCGGATTTAAGCTTAATGAAAACATTATTTTGGTATTCTGTAAAAAAAAAAAAATACTTTTTTTTTTTAATTGACTAGCAAAAAAAAAAAGTTGTTTACAAATCTTAAAAATAACATCGTACTCGGTCTACATATTTTGCCGCTTTGTATCATTGTATCTAAAGCCGGCACTGCATGTATCTTATCATGACTAAATAAGATAACCAGAAATCATGAAATAGTTCATATGTAAAACAATGTTAATATCATGGTTAAGACATAATTTTTTTTTTATCAACTCCCACAAATTGCTACGAGCAACTTTAAAATATTTGTTTGGCTTAAATAAATATTAAATGATCTGTTGTTACTTACAGTTTATTATATTAAGCATCAAAGTAGATCCTACATGGTGCATAATGATAGAAAATAATAAATTGTAGTTGTCAAAGATTGTACTACCATCAACACCAGTGTTGTGAAACAGCGTACCCAACAACAAACTTATCACCAAATTGACTCCTAATCGTAAATAAGTTAAATCCTAAAATCATTAAATATCTTATAATTCGAAATAGATCAAATAACATTTATTTAACTGTAAAAGTTTATGTTTAATTATTTACTATTAAACTTATCGCTTCCTACCATTGATATTCTACTTATACTTATTAAATCTACTAATTTAATATTGATTTATGAACTGAATGGTTTATTATACAGATTAATTTTATTTGTCAATTAAGTATCCCCATTTATATATTTTTATTTAAAATTTTATGATTTAATATACAAAAAAAAAAAAGTACAGCTCGAATTCTATTAATTGTTATGTGATATTTAATAATTGTAAGATTAGTACAATATTAGTTGTGGTGAATTTGTTCGTCTTAACTATGTCAAACTTATAACTTACCGGATCTCTCACACATTTAATGGCTCCTCGGTGTAATAAACACTTAAGTTGATTATATGACGATGTTTCATGGAAAATGTGTTGTTTAGGTTGTTTTTGTGTTGTACTATTATATACTCCATTTTTAGGAATTTCTGAAAAATGAATTATTTAAAATTTCTATAAAATTTTATCAATAGTGATATTTTTAGAACTAATACACGTATATTGATTAAATTAATAATGAAAAAATCTAACCAACTTTTTATTAAATTAAATTAAATATTATTGAGTGATGAGTATTTTTATTTACTAATTTATTAAGTAACTTCAAACCTATACCTTACAATTAACTAGAGCGGATTTAGTAAAAGTGTTATGATACTTCAGCCCCCTCCTTGGAATGCGTTGTTCACATTGAAAAATAGTTATAAGCCAAAAAAAAATCTATCAGGTTAATTAATGTTGCCGTCCGAACAAAAATTCTAGGTCCGTTTTAGTTAGCTAATAAATTGTTTCCGTAAGATAACTCAAAAAGTCGTAACGTTCTTATTACACTTTATTTTTAATCTGATTTATATTCCTCATTTTTTGGTAGGGTTTTAATGTATTCATTTCATAATCAACAAAAAAATCGTAAAAACTTGTAGAATATGAACTGCATTTAAAACCTAAGCGGAAATAACGTCTTATGTAAGTAACAAATTTTTGAATTTCATGTTTTTAACAGAATATTGTTATATTGAAAAAACTCGATGCATTTTTGAAATGAGAGTAATCCTAATATGATTCTATAATATTTGTATTAACACAAAACCAGATGATCGCTTATTAAATAAAGACGCTTAATTGTTTTTTTTTCGATACTATAAAATTTATGAATTGATGCATAACACATGTTATTCTCGCCTACGCTTCATTTGTTCTTTAAAAATGTATTTAAACTGATTTTTTAGTCCCCATTATACTCTACGTATAATGTATGTTTAAATATCAATTAAACGATTTAACTAATTAAATAATAATTTAATTTTACCTATGTCTTCGATTACAGGTTCGGGTAAATCGTTGAATTTTGACCACGTTAGAGACCTTCCATTTTCTATATATTTAACCATTTTATCAATTTTATCTTCGCCATGTTCACCGCAAGCCAATTCAATAACTACGCATAATATTAATTCAGTTAATAGTGATGATATTATAAAAGTTAAAATTAATAGTATCATACCATAATCAGCTGGATTATGGTACTTAGGACATGGCAATTCCAATTTCGATAGGTAAGGTACCAAATTGTCGGTAGATCCTTGATAAAGACAATTTCCATTTGCTAAAACATATACTTGATCAAACATTTGAAATAGCGTAGCACTTGGTTGATGAATTGTGCATATAATTGTTCTTCCTTGGTGAGCTAATAGTCTTAAAAGTTTTATACATTGGGAGCAGGAAGAACTATCCAAACCACTAAGCAAATTAAAAAAAAATCGAGTAATTCATAGAGAAAACATTTGTTTTTCGTGTATATTTAATATTAAATATAAAAATTCTGCTACTTACGTTGTTGGTTCATCGAGGAACATAATCATTGGATTGTTTATTAACTCTAAAGCTATTGACAGTCTTTTTTTTTGTCCACCAGACAATCTTGATGTTCTCGTTGCCTTACATTGTTCAAGACCCAGAGTTGACAAAATTTCATTTATCTATAAACAACAAAATACTTTACCAGATAAATCTTAATAAAGTTTAAAAAAAAACCTAGTTCAATAATTGACTCATTTAAGACGTCAAAAATTTTCTTGTGAAATGTTTTTGCATAGAAAAAATATTTTGATTGGTTATTTTAATTTGATACATATGTACAGATTGTATTTTTTCTTAGACAAAAAAAAGTATTTAAATTTAATTAAAAATTAGATTTTGAACCCATATAAAACCAAAATTTGATTTATACATTTTAAATTTATATATTTATACCAACATAATTATAAAACTGGTTCTGAAAAAAAAACTCAAAACATTCAAAAATACCCGTGCACAATACCTGAATTGGATAATTAAAAGCCTGGATTAATAATAATTTCAAAAGAATTTATGCGTATTTTTAATAAAAACTTACCACCGCTTCTTTATACTTTGGTGATTTATCTTGTGTTAGTTTAAGATTCGCTGCAATTTGCATATTTTCATTAACAGTTAACAATGGTTGTAAACGATCATCTTGCTGAATGTAACACGAAACTCGTCGAAATTCATTCAAAAGTCTTTCTCGGTTATTTACTATTATATTTCCTCTGACACCTGTTAAACTTAATAAAATAATATAATCGTATGAATTATATAAATGTATTTTTTTTAAATGTATATGTTTTTTACTTGTAGCCTGAAATGACGTCTAAAAGTGATGATTTTCCAGCTCCTGACGGCCCCATTATGGCAATCAACTGGCTTGGAGCAAATTTTCCGCTAATATTTTTGAGAACATCTTTATAACCTTAAAAATAGATTGTTTACAATTAATTTTAAATCAAATTATAATAACTATAAGTTAGTAATTCATTTAACGTTATCAACTAACCTTTATTTATTCCAAGTGATACTGTATAATATAAATCACTAAATTTTAATTCAATTTGATCTTGTTTCCTGTCTTTAATAAATAACCCTTTAGGCTGACTAAGGCCATTAGTGTTTTCTTTAAACTCCATTTAGTCGAGGCTACTAATAAAAACATATATTCTGTTACTAAATGCACATATTTTTAAAAGATTGTAGTTTAAAAAATGTCTTCAATTAAAAACTTAACAATAACACTTAAAAAATAAGCAAACAAGTGAAAAGAAAATTGCTAAAAAAATATTATACATGAATCTTTTTGGTGTAGAAATCATATTTTATCGTTCCATCACAAAATTTACAATCTATCAAAAATGTTTGTTAGCAAATAGGTTATGTATTTTCCAAAAAAAAAACTTATCAAAATAATATTCAAAGTATTCATATGCTATTCTCGTAATAGTAACCAATATAAAAATTCTTTAAAGCCTTAATAACAATTATTAAAACTGATTAACCAAGTCAAACAATCATTTATTTTAATTTAAAGTAATTTATTTATTTTTAAGTTAGAGTTTATTTGTCATAGAGTAAAAGATAAAATTAATTTTTCTTCGACTCCCATAAATAGTTCTTAAACAAATACATAATTGTTAACTCATAAAAATTTTATTTTCACATAAAAATTAGAAACTTGTTTTTTATTTGCTGAGGTCAAGGTTCAAACGTTCTGAGAATATGTTTGTCTCTCATTTATGTTTACAATTCCAAAGTATATATTGATGGCCTATAATAATTTAATATGTATGTTATTCAAAAAGTCAGTATAATATATAAAACAGCATTTAATTATTTTCTTTTAAATGTTTTTTTTTTAAATTATAATGTCTTTTGAATACTGAAGTGCAATACTAAAATTAATTTTTAAAAAGATATGTTTATTTATTTCTAATATTGTTAATACTGTAGCTCAGATAATAAAAAACAAGCAGTTTAGCCTTTAATTACTATCAGATATATTCATTAAAATAGATTTTAAATTACTAGTACAGATTAAATCTAATATTGTAAACAAATCATGATGTTTACATGGTGTTATTTATGTGTTTATAAATTGAAATTATAACTCGATTTTTTTTAATCTTCGGAGTCTTTATAATTATATCAACGACGAATTGAGTAATCATGACGCATATTGAAATAACTATATTTCTAATTTACCAGACCAAATGACTCTATTCTAATGACAAAATTCAAAGAAACACGTTTCATACTTTAAAATAATCATTATCATGATATACTAACATTGACCTTAATATATTAAACTATAATTTGTTTAAAAATGGCTACTTTTCGTGACATAAAAAAAAAAAACAAGAAGATTTTTCAATAATCAAAATAGTTCATGAAACGAGCCTAAACATTTGAATTTGCAAAACTAAATAAATGGATTTTTATGTTATTCTAAAAATAATTTTTGTTACATTTCATGATATAAAAAGTGACAATGTTTCAATAAAATAACACTCCTAATGTATATAATAATAATCAATATTTTATTCTTGTCTACAGATTAACTTATGTAAAGTACAACAAACATAATTATTTAATAAAGTTTATTGTTTGACTGCATACTTAATATTAAAACGTCTATAAAATAGTTATTAATAATTTCTAAATGTTTTAATTACTTTATAAGTAGGGTAAAATATGTTTTAGATGAATTCCTGATTTTGCTTANTTTATAAGTAGGGTAAAATATGTTTTAGATGAATTCCTGATTTTGCTTAATGTTTATAACGAAGACACCTATTGTTATTAGTGATTTTAATTGTTATTATAATCATTCATATTACTTAGGAGTACTCAAATGTATACTTAAGTGGGGTGTCAATAAGCCTTTGGCGTACAAACATCGATTGCAATAAACTATAATACTACTACTATTATTATTATTATTACTAAAAAAAATTCAAACAGAGAGGGAAGTATTTTATTATATGGCGTTAAAAAAAACGCGATCAAGTAATATATATTGTGGCACCCCTTCTAAAAATCGTATGTACACCACTGAGAGTACCAAATGAAACGAATAAAAATATCGTCTTAAATAATTAAAAAAATAAATCACCATAAAGACTTACAAGTCTTAGAGAGTTCATTAATTTGTAATAAAACATCACTGTTTTGACCTATATATTATTATTTATTTGTTATTACTCTATTTATCCTCGGCGTTTTCTCTGAAAAGCTATACTTGTGTTAGAGGAAACGAGAAAATCTTCAGACTGTTGCAACGGAAATGAAGCCCAGTACCTACACACTAAGGCACGACGCGTTCCCGATTGAGCTTTGCAGTCCACCATANCCTATATATTATTATTTATTTGTTATTACTCTATTTATCCTCGGCGTTCTCTCTGAAAAGCTATACTTGTGTTAGAGGAAACGAGAAAATCTTCAGACTGTTGCAACGGAAATGAAGCCCAGTACCTACACACTAAGGCACGACGCGTTCCCGATTGAGCTTTGCAGTCCACCATAGTAAATGTACCATAAAATTTTATACTTTTTAATTTAAATTAAAGTTTTTGTACGCAAATTGGTTAGTAATAGACGTGAAGTAAAAAAATTACTTTTTATATATTTAAGAATTCAAAAAGTTCATGAATTCATGAAAAGCATATAACACTTCTAATTTTGGAAATGTTTAAGATGACTTATAAGTGTTCCTAGTGTAGTGATATTATAATCTTATTGAAAACAATTTTTTTTATAAAAAAGTGACTTCTATTTTAGTAGCCGTTTATGCATTACAAAGAGTTACAAGCATTATTCTTCGTATTATACACAAACCATATAAATAAATTCATTGGTACTATGAATAATATTTGTGATTGTTCTTTGTTATAAAATAAAACATGTAGACTAATTGACAATGTAATAGATGATTTCTTTGTTTAACTATGACAAACATTAAATACAAATAATACTATGAGCTAACAGTGCTTTAATGTTATAAGTGTTGTAATGGCCGCTGATTATTCTAAAATATTTTTAATTATCAAAAAATCCATTAAAAATGTTAAGAAAGAATTATTTTTTTCCAAATATTTTTCAAATTAGTGATTAATTATCACTTAAAATTCATTCGTAAAGTAATAATTAAACAACGTTATATATATATAAAAAAAAAATTATCTCACATTAATGATTATATTTCATAACTTATTCTATTCGGGAATAATTAATATTTTCATTAATAAAATTATTAATTAAGATTTTCAAACAACATTATAGAAATTAATAAAATCGAATTTCAGCTTAAGTTTTACAGTTTTAAAAACGTTATGACTCTTAAAATTTGAACATATAAGGTACATTTTTTCCCGTAGGTCTTTAAATATTTTTAACATTATAATGACAGTTTTCAAAAATTATAAAATAAAATAAAATTTATATCAAAAAAATAGACATGATAACATGACAGTTATGAGGCAGACATAGATTTAAAAACTTTAATGAATTTTTACTAAAAACAAAAATCAATTCAAAATTAACTCGTATTTCTTATAACTGAATTAAAAAGGTTTTTTGTCTTTGATGTAGTTTAAATTATAAAACAGTTTTATAAATTACACGTGGATATAAAAGTAAATAAAAAAATTATTATAACTTAAATTATGAACTCGTCAAAAATAAGTAATAAGAATAATTAAATATAACAAGTCTTTACTTTTAAATAACATATATTAATAATGATTTTTTTTCATAAACTATTAATGTTAAAAGAATATGGATATTGTTCGCTGACTATTGAAAATTTTACCACATTCCAATTGTATTACACAATTGTTTTGACTTGTTTTTTGCATATGGTTACTCAGATAACTGCGCTACTTTAAACACGTTAAGGTGAGTCCCGTTTATCAGTGACAAAATTAAATAAGATCTGTTGATTGACATGACTTGATATCTAATCGCTTGTAGCACATATATTAAATTTAATTGTTTTATCGGTTTTATCGCATTTTACGAGAATATTGACTAAAGTTCTTAAAAATTATTTTATCCGCATAAAATAAACTAAAAGAAGTTAAATCGATGCAGTATGTAACAATATAAAATAACTTCAATATAATGTAATGAATGTACTAATGCAAGAATCTTAAAACATCACTATAAGGTAGGTAAACAATCAATATAACGTGAAGTGTATAAAATATAAAAACCTCTTGTTCTTAACTACCTATGTAATAACACAAAATACTTAATAAAATCGTCATTTTCTCTTCACCTTTAAATTAACAATTAAATTATACCGAGAATTACTGGCCTATTGTTAGGCTTGATACTTAAAGTTGGGTTTGACGAGATAGAGTGAATAAAATTTAGATATATAGTTAGTATTAAAATTTAGCACTCTTATGCAATCGCTATGAATATATTATCAAGAATTTTCAACAAATAAATTTTTGTGTAATATTAATAATATCAATATAATATCAAGATAGCAAGGAAGTTAACAAAAAACAATTGTTAATTAATAAAGTGTAGATATCTGTCAAGAGTACTAATAGCTAAAAAAAGCTATACCATTCAATTACCAACTAAGAAACTTCGAAATTAATCAAAGCCGCCCTCACTTCATTTGTAGATAGTAGCGATTATTAAAGGGTTGATAGGTAGATTGCATCTCCATTGGTCCGAAGTTTTTTAAATATTATAATGAAAAAGTACTCAGCTTTCTATAAATACGTTATTATCATAATAATTTCACTGAATATGATAAATAAACATGTTTGTTCTTTTTTAAACACACACACGACNAAATAAACATGTTTGTTCTTTTTTAAACACACACACGACTATAAATATTGGAAATAAGTTATAAACCTTCCAATTCTATTGCTTATGATTGTATCTTACATTTTCGCTGTTTGATAATAATCAATAATGACCTTATAAGCTTCCTTCAGCTAAAAACTGATTGATTTCGAAATGTCCGGTTACTAAAAATATAATATTAAAAAAATAAAAACTACTCGAATTCGCATTTGTGATAACGATTATGCTACTAATTTCAGTTTTTAATAATAAGTTTGAACCATATTAATTTTTATTTTATTTATTATAAGGTAGTTCAATGTAATCGTTAAATTTATTAAATTATTAGTAACGTTTTTGTACGGTTAATCTTTTAAACATTTTTTATTTTAGCAATATTTAAAAAAAAAAAAAAAATTTCCATGTGTTTTGTTTTAGATAAACGACCTTATAAATTAAGTTGACCTTAAGTAATTGTTTATTTTTAACGTATTATCAAAGAGAGTATTTTAAACGAGACTATACAACAGCTATGCATATCGTTGCAATTCATGATTTAAACACGAACAGCTCTATTACCAGTTAAAATTTTTTTGAGTAATTAAGGCTATAAAACGACGGAGTTTAATTTTGTTACAAATGATCTACAGTAGTTTTATTTCCAACTAAAAACTTTTTTTTGCTGATTCATAGATTTTTATTAAAACCAGGTGTTATAAGCAGTACTCTAGATATATTCATATGTCTTATAAAAGTATTTAGTTAATGTGTTTACGAAAATTGTTTAAAAATATTAAAAAAGAGGAGTCGAGAAAAATATTAGCTATTCAAAAAAATATTTTTTTTTTTTACAATTTTTAAGAACTTATTAAAAATACTAAGTAATTATTTCAACCTTAATTGGGAAAACATTTAATAATGAAGGAAAATTTTATTGAATTTTCATTCTGCAAATAAAATTTTTAATACACGCCTGGATAATACTATAATACCATTTTTTGTTGAATATTAAATTGAATTTTCTAGTAAAAACAATAAACACATTATGACTAAAGTTCAAAAACATCAAATTTTCAAATAGTTGAAATAAAAAAATTAATTGATAATTCCTTTTTTCTATTTTTTCTATTTATTCAGTTAAATTATTAAAGCCATTTAAGTAAGATGTTGCTTTCAGTAACTATTTGTGGATGTTAATTGTAAATGTACATAAAACAATTAGGTTTGGTTAATTAATTATAATGACTAACATCATATGAAAAGAGGAAATTAAATTGAGTTTTTAATTATATAAACATCAAATATTTATTATTTTATTTACAGAAAAAACTCATACTAAATGTTTTATTTGTCTTGAACAGTGTAAGATAACTAAACATCAAATTAAAAAAAATTATATTTCTACTTAATTTTTATAGTATAAATTGCTATTTTATAAATCTTCGAGATAAACAGTTAAGAAATTGTTCAATAGTACTCAATTAAAATATTTCTATTTTTATATGATTTTTTGTAAGTTTTATTAATTTTATGACATGATAAAACCCGTAAATTTAACTATTAAGTTATGCTTAAGTACACGTGTAAAATCATAGCCTTAAAAATTAATCATAGAAACCAACACACATGACTCACTTACTTTAAAAGATTTAATTAATAGATTCAACTAATCAACAATTAAACATGAAATTTCTCATAAATCATATTGAGATTTACTTACCTACTGGTAATTTTTAATTTATTTTTTTCTCTTCATAAACAATTTTATTTTAATAAATAGTAATATAATCGATATATTATTGCCATATTTATCTCAATAATTTTCTAATCACCAATTCTAATTACTAACATCAGCAAAAATAATTAAGGTGACTCTTGCGATATTTTGTTATCAATAACAGGTATGTACATAAACTATATGTAATAATGCGATTCTAAGGAATAAGAACAAAAAACTGAAGAAATTATCACGTGTATTTATGCCATTTTCTATATTCTAAGATAATATACTAGTTCTATGCTACAAGTCTAATAAAAATCGATATAATAAATAAAAATGTATAAATACCTTAAATAAAATGAATTGTTGAAAAATGGTTATTAAGAATATATATTAATATACAAAAAAATTATTATAACGAAATATTGGTCATAAAAAAAAGGTACTATTTCAGAAAATTCACGGTTACATAAATAAAGTATTCATCAAACAGAAAACAAGATTGATTTAATAGTTCTTATTCAACTTAATCAAAAAACATCTTAAGAATAATTTTAACTCGTGATTTGTATCAAGTATTAAGTACTTTTAAAACGTTTTATTTGTTATACTGTCAATATAGTAGATAGGAATATGACTTATTGATAATATTCTTAAAATTTAGTGATAAAAAGCTATCAATATTTAAATGAGCAATAGCAATTGACTATACAGAAAACTAACATTATTTATAAAAATGTTGTTACTCAATGTTATTTTATGTGCAAAACTTTACAAAATACTACAAATTATAGTAAATTGTCTGTTAATTTTGCTTATTATTTCAATTAAACTTAAAGTTTGATATAGCTAATCTTGATCAGAAACCTAGATGTTTGTGGGCTAAACTAATTTTATGTGAATTGATTGAGTTCTAAACATTTTAAAACAATTAATATTTAATTTATGTGTAACGTATAAACCAAACAAAGTATAATTCACTGTGTAAAAGTTATTTTATTTCTACATAAATTATGACTACTTTATGTATGATATAAAGGGCTGAAACTTTTTTAAAAAAGGGGTATTAAAAGAACAGTTTACGTTGTATAAGAAATATTTCACGCACGAGTTGCATAATGGTAACTTTTAAAGTTACCAATTTATTCTTCTGATTTTTTCCCTAGTTTAAAAAAAGTTTATATATTTTTGCTTCTCAAATAAAAGTTTTCCTTATTAAATGGACTGATTCTAATAACTTACATTTTTTAATAAATTTGTAATTTATTGTACGTAAAGGAGCGTGAGTTACTGATAAAGACGTTGCTTAATTGGAAAATAAAAATTAATAAAAATAACCTTACCGTCAATATACGTTCAAAGGGTTGTAAGTGTAAAATTTCACCGAGTTTTATTAATATTTGCATGAAAAATTACCTAAGCAAAACGATTTCAACGATGACCGCAAACTCCTAAGAATTCGAAGTTCACATTTACGTTTCACAGACACGATCAGATCAGACGCTCAGCACTCGCACGCGACTGACCGTATGTAAACGTTAATAGATATAATATAATTTAATATGGTAACAAAACATTTTAACGTTGAGAATAACGTAATCTAAATGGTTGCATTTTGACCTCTGAATGTTTATTATCACTGGACACGTTTCCCACACGCAAACAGAACAAAGCCGTCAAATACGATTGTGCCCATAATATAATATAACATCTATTTTATTAATATTTTCTTTATATCAAAACAATAGTAAAATTGTACGACAATCGAATACAGTTTGTATTAATAGAATTAAAGACACAATAGAAAGGTCTTTATAATCAATAATAGCGAGTTGCCAGTAGAATCTATCAGATTTGATAAACTGTATGTTAATATAAAACAAATTGGCAGCGTGCGTCACCGTTTCGATCCAATTATGTTGCATTAAGAAAATGCCATTAAATGTATGAGGTCAATAGATGCCAACAATTATCCACTTTTATTTAATTTAACATATGTCTGAATTATTAAAAATCATACAAGGTAATTAACTTACCATGAAGCACTCGATTAGTTAGAATCAAAAACATTTTGAGAATCTTTCTTTTTTATCACCCTTGTTTAAGGGTGATTTCACGGAACAAAATTCATATTCTGAATTAAGATGCACAAAAATAAGATTACTTAAAAAAATGGCTTTTTATTTTTTGATGAAATTTTTTATTTAATTTAGATACTAATTGAAAGTAGTCTCTGTGCAAAAACAAATAATTACATTCTTCGAAAATTTTCAGGAATTTTAAAAAACATTTATGACATGAAAATTATTTATTGTAAGTATTTATTTTTTGGATACGTGTATTCGTCATTTTAATCATAATTTAGAATCGTCGATATGTGATTTAAAAAAAAAAAATTAGTCATTATATTTTTCCACATAGCCTTTTAATGATTAAGCGTAACCTTTAAAATAGTTTCATCTGCCCTGCCTAAGCCTGACATTTGTTTATATTTTTTAAACATATTAACTAGATAATAAATTATAAAATATTTAACTAAGAAAATGTCTGGCTAATAACAATAATTGATTAACTTACCATTGGTTAGGGGATGTGATTTTTTTTTTCTTGGTGGTAGAGGAAATGTAGTTGAAAGATGCTTGATGAAAAAACAGTCACACTCGGGTCTGACCGCCAGTCTATCCCATAAATTAGTTCAAAAGTTATCTAAGAGACGTTTACTTAAAACATTATCTGATATACACAGTGATTCATTAAGGATAAGACACACTCGTTTTCTTGGAAACTATTAAAAGTTTTTAATTTTCGTAAAGGAATATTATGTTTGATTAAAATAACTATACAAAAATATATTGCTTTATAATTGAGATAAGAAAAATCAATTTGAAATTTCTTTAATGAGAATCTCTATTTTTAATATGATGATACGATAGAAAAAAAAATTTCAAATAATTTTGTTCTTTTAATTTTTTTTATCCGCTCAACCGTTTGTTTTTTAAAATTGTTTAAAGACTTGGATTTACAAATTAATCATTAATTTGGTGTTTATTATACCGGAAGCATCAATAATTTGTTTCAATGGGCCATAATTTACTTCTATGATAGTTATCAAGAAAAATTTCCACAGTAGCCGATTAACAATGTGCGATAGTAAACTAGCGTTGAATGTAAGAATAGGCATCTATTAATAAACATGAAATATTAAAGATAAGATTTTTGTATAACATGGAGTTGTATATGTGACAATTAACGACCACCGTATGCTAAACAGAAATTATCAAAAGAAATTGGTTAAAAATCGCTAAACTTAAACAAGAAATAATAGAAGAATTGTTCATTGAACAAAAACAATTATAATAACAACATATTTTTACTATCATATTATCAAAATAAAAATAGGGGTTAAAGAAAATTTAAGTTAAGGTTTTTTATACCAAAGAGAATGGAAAAAAAAATTCAACTACGTATTATTACAGAACTTTTGAATCAAACAATATTTTCCTGTATGAAAGTAATAAAGTAGTTCAACAGTTTCAAAGAAAATGAGTATCTTAATGAATAACAATCACTCCGTTACACATATATTAAATTTGTATATTGCCAATAAAAAAATTTAAATAAATATCCTTAAGTAATCAAAAATTACTTGTAGCTAAAATGTTTTTAATAAGTAACTGAGTTCATAATAAGTAAACCGCTCTGTATACGTTTGTAATAGATTATATAGAAGTTCATAGAACTGCAATCGTGACTTTGTTGTAGTCACTATTGCACTTCAATTTTTGCAAATTATGCAATGAAGATTTATTTAAGTTATTACAATTACAAATGTTTTCTACTTGTACTAAATATTACAATATGAGAGAATTTATAATTATATGAAAATATAATGTATAATAATATAAATCTTGCTACACTAGTTAAATTATATTTTAATTTGGAACAGTTCTATAAACAAATAATCATAAAAGAATGGACAAGGGAAGAATGCCCCGTCCCTCAGTACTCTTTATTAAAGCATAATTTGAAATAAAGGCTTAAACAAGTTTTCTAAAATTTTGGATTAGACCTCAATTTTAGGTAGTTCATATAAAAAATATGTCCATGTATTAAGCTATTAAAAAAATAAAGATCAATTTTAAATATATTCTATAAATAAACCTATGAACTCTCAAATTATATTTTATACACTAAATATATTATATTTCCGTTATTGGCGGAATTTGAGCAAAATATTTGGAAGATCTATTTTAGTTTCTTTTCACCTCGAAAATAGTTCTACATAAAAATACGTATATGTAATATTCGTAGTTTTTTAATAGGGTTATGGAAGATTTTGGGGAAGCTAACCCCTTCTAGACTCCTTAGATTGCATTTATGTTTTCTATTTATGATTATTTTAACAGACAGCCTATATTTTGTTCTTTACTTTTATACATCCAGTAAGAAAAACATTGTAAAATTTTTGTCAACAAATTCTTTTTCTTTTTGATAAAAAGTAATTCTTTAATTTTATCTTTAAAATGACATAATAATTTTGATGATTATTAATTTCTAAGTCAAGTGTATCAATTGAAATAAGTGGTTACGGTTGTAGCTAGGCGCCCCTTAACTGCAAAATCCACAACTTTAATTAATGACAACGTAAATGAAATGCAAAAAATATTCTATGCAAAAAAATCTATAACACATATTATGTGCTTGCATAATTTCTGTTTGAACGCGCGCATACAAATTAAATACATTGAGATAAAGTTAAAACTAATTTAAGTGATTAATTATAATAATATAACATCATGTTAGTTTATAATAAAAAAAAGTAGTCAATGATTATTTTACATAAATTTGAAGTCTGATAAATAGTAACATAACAAATATTATTAAGTTGTTTTGAGATAAAAATTTATGTGTTGTTTCAATGAATATGAGAAACATTTTTTTATTACCAAATGATAGTGACGTTAGCAATTTTTACGTATAAATCAGCCATGGAGTATCTTTTTGGAGGAAACATTAAAAAAACAAATGGCTAAACAAATATGTATTTTAAGATAAAAGTCAAGATATGTTTCCATGAAACAATAACCAGAGTAGATATTTTTATATTCTTAAATAATTGAGGGCTTATCAATTTTTAATAATCTCATGTTTTTTGAAATTCAACCAATTTATTTTTCTTAACTCTAAAAAGAAAAAGCTACAGAAATGGGGTAAAAATCATTGGCAAATACTTAAACTAAATTGGATAAATGAAATTGTTCTTTATACAAAATATATTTTCAAAACAAAATTTACACTGTAAAACTTAATAAAAATATGAAAATATTTAAAAAAAATTGAACAAAACTTGTCTTTCAAATGCTGTATAGTCATACAGTGACTATTTACGTAAAAAAACAGTTTGAACCGAAATTACAAGTAAAGCTGCAGCTGTAATGTAACCATGAGAAACATTTGCAAGTAGCCCCTTGCCCGAGTATCCTTGCAATAACAAATCTCATTCCCCGCTTTCCATCATTTAAACGCTACATTATAATAATATTATTGTAGTAATCGCTATTCGAGATGTGCGTAATGAAAAGTAGGTTTAGTAATACTTAAGTAATTTCTCGAGCTTCGTTTTATACAAATGCAGAATTTGATGAAGTGTATGTTTTGGTATTGCACACTTTATATTTATGTTTCAAAGCTCTGCATAATAACCAACCTACAAGTAATCTAAAGACATTAGTCTAGCATTTTAGTAAACAATTATCTTTTGTAGAAATACATATATTCGTTGTAAATACTTATACGTTATAATAGATCTTATAACTTTTAATTTATGAATTATTGATCTACTTTAAAATAATCTAATTTACATTAAATTTAGTAATCATACAAAATAAACTAAATTTTAATAAAAAATTATTTAGTTTATACTTATTCTTTCATGGTTCTAAAGTCAACATTTACATTTTATATGTATGTTGTAAAAAAAAACTTACATTTTTAGAGAACAAATATATTGAACATCGCATAACATTGAATTTCAAATGATGTAGTTAAAAATAATTGAAAGTTTACTATTTATAGTTCTTAACACAATATAGTTGTATACAGTTCAAGACTATTATTTATGTTTACAAAAGAAGAAATATATAAATTTATAATGCATACAACATTCAATATTTTATTTTGATGACTTAATATTTTCCGCGATTCTATTTTGATAATTTGGATTTCATAATTGCAAAAATATTTGTCAGAATTTTATCATGGGATGATACATACGTAATGCTTTTTTTCTCCCAAAATTGTATCTTCACCAAGTTACTACTTTTATCATTTGGGGTTAACCTCTATCTCTCCCTAGGCTTACGGCTTGATTAAATAACTATTTTCTACTTAGTAAAAGTAAGTTGAAGTAAATCTAAATACTTTCGTTTTCACATAAATAAAAAAAGAGAATAACAAAAAAAATGAAATGAATATATCGGTAGGCATTTCGACTAATTTTTGTATTCATTTATTTTTTATTTTATACATACCTGCTAGATACTTCCTAGTGTTGTATCAAATTACTAATTTCTTCTGACTTCCCCAAAGCTGTAAAAAGTATCTAATAATAACGTTTAATTATTTAACGTTAACAATTTCATTAATAATAACGACAAATTAAACCACACAATATATAACTTAAAACTGTAAAATGTGTTACTAAACTATGTTGGAATTTTATCATTGTTTTGTTTGCCAATATACACAATGTTCGGTCGTATGTTGTGCATAATACGGAAAACAATAATCAATGAAACGATAAGACGAACGTTTATAAACTAATTGTATTAAATTTCAACTTAATAGTCGTTAAGAACTACTAAAAATGCACCCACTTGAATGATACGAATAAATTTATTTAAATACTACCTATAGAAGAAGAAGGAAAAACTGGAAATACTAATTAAATAACCGTACTGAAATTACTATAAAAACAATTGTTTAATAAATATACTTTTTCAGGTATTATAAAAGTTTATATAGATTATAAATTATAAGACTATATAATAGTTGTGTATATAATTATATTGTTTGAAATGTGTTTTTAAAATTAAAATATATATTTGCTTCGATGCGAAGCTGATAAGATATTACTGTGATTTGTTTATTTATTTATATTTTTGTGTCTGTTATGTATATAAACAAATTGCCATTGCAGTTAAAAAAATGTACTGTTCACAAGTTAAAATTCTAAGATAGAAATGTACATCTTCATTTTTGCTCCTCTGAAAAATTTACAAAAATGATCCATTACCGTTTTTTACCTGCACTCTTGAATTAATATCAATGAGATATTAGAATTGAAGTGTTACATAATAAAATTAAAACAAACAATTTTAAATAAAGTATTTCTACTTATACCCCGTCGTTTCCGGGATTTTTTAAGAGAAAACTTATGATAATATCTTATTGCTTCATTACTTTCACGGAAATCATAACTATAAATTGACAATTTTCAAAAATTGTAAAAAGCAAGAGTTGAAACTTCTATTGTTATAAATTCATGGTATTTGGGAGAGGTGAAGAATCAGTACAATACGTTTTTATATGTCAAAATCAACTTTTTTGTCAATTTTACCATTCAAATTACATTTTTTCTTTTTTAAAGTTAACTCCAACATTTAAAAGATATGGCGAGTGCCTCTTTTAACCATTTTTTTATATTTCTAAATGTTACAACCATTATACATTAACACATTTATTTATAAATATTCCTTAATTATTGATCTTTATAAATAATATCAATCCAGAAGAATTATTTTTAACTTAAATACTTTAAATGTAAATTTATGATGAAAAATTTAACAATTTATTTATTTCTTAGATTTAATAAATCGATGATATTACATGTTTCAATACTACATAAGTGTATTTTAATTAAAATCACTTTAAACTCTCAAAACTTTGTACCATACCAAACTAAATGATTTGATAACAACATTTTATCGTATAATTATCAAAAATTTAACTGTTTGATAAAGTTCTGTGCAATATTTGATATTTCTCAAATTAATTGTTAATATTTTTTTATTATTAATAAATATTATCAGACACTTTTAACGTCGTATTTAACATTGATAAAAAATAAAAGTTAAAGCATTAATAATATATTACTCAATCTTTTCGACGACGTTAAACATTAAAAATTTGAAATTCGAGGAGTACGATTAAAAAAACTTATATTTTTTCTATAATAATAATAATTTATATTGCTTCGTAAATTAGTTCCACTCTTATAAACCTGCCACACGGGATAGTTGCACTCAGTACCTCCTAAAAGCAGCTCTACTATCACCTACAGTCATTGAAATAATTACTAGTTCTTAAGAAAACGAGTTATTCATCATAACTCATAAACAAAATTTCAAAATATTATTTTGATTTTTGATATGTTAATGTTTTAAACATGTATGTATAAAAATTTCGATTCATAACAAATGTTATCTTATTTTTTAGTACTTTAAAGTTGATTTATACAAAAATTTACAAAAGAAACAGTTGAATTTTTTTCGGCTCAGCTTACTAGTATCAAAATAACAACATTAAATAGGAAATTGTAAAAACTTTTAAAAAATATTATTGTTTAGATTGATAGTGGCTAGAAACTAATATGATGATAACTAACTAAAATAAAATGTATATGATAAGCTCAAATTAAAATTAAAAACAATATTTCCTTGTAACTAATACTGTACCTCAGAATTAGATAAATGTAAGTTACATTTTGTCAAATATTTATGAAAGCACAAAAACAGAAAAATTGAATTTCTTTGAATTGCAACAGAAATTAAAAAAAAAGTTAGCATGTTAATATTATTGGTCTACGTTAAAAACTATATAGTTAATTTTTTTATATGAATTATATTGAGCTACGTTTTTTGGCAAAACTCAAGTTAGGAATTAAATTTTTATAACTTTGATAAGATATGGAAGAGATAATCGTAACAACACTTTGTTAATTATAGTTTGATAATATTTCATTTCGCGTACAAAAATATAATAACCTGAAAATGCATTTTTCAAATTATTAAAAGAAACAAATCAAAAATTAATTTTATTAAAGAAAATTTATTATTCTATGTATAGGTTTTTATTTAATGAACCACTTAATTAATAGAATTATAAAAATAATATTGAACATTTTTATTTTATCTTATAATCAGGGCTCAAGATTTATACCACTTAAAATCGTCAAAATAAGCTCTTTAGATAAAGCCTTAACACGTTGACGACGGTGGGTGTTACTGGTGATGATACCCAGACTAATTTTTGAAGACCAATGACAGAATATTAAAAACGGGTCTCGTCGCCAACTTGTTAAACACGATCATAAGCATTAAAAAAATTTTAAATCAGCAAAAAAAATGTGTAATGAAAAAAATTTTCTTTGTAATTTTTAAATTTTTGTTTTACATGATTAAAACTACTGAATGTACTATAATTCTATACAGAGTAGTTTTTTTAACGCTAACCAACTGATTTCTCTTAAAATAATTATTATTTTTAGTATTTTGAAGTTTAAATTTAATAATTTAAACCTTTTAATTTCATCCCTTAAAAGGTTGTCAACTTTAATTTTTTAAATTGTAATATAAATTTTAAGCTAGCTTATCAAATAGTAAATGATTTAATTAAGAAAATAACTGGACGATAACGATTTTTAGATTTGTGCTTTGAAAGTTATTAACATGTTTATATCTAAACGATGAAGAGTGACGATCAACGATGCGGTTGAGAAATGTGCTAATGATAAATGTATTCACATCCGCACCTCACAAACCCAACCAATCTACATTATAAAATCCTCATAATTTCCAAAGTACTGGTTAAAATGTTGTTATTAATCGGTCATTTTCTTAGGGTATTATCACATTAGGGAGGTTGCATCGCGCAACGAAACCGTCACAGTTACGCCACTAAAACGGACCCCATGAGTTTTTATGAAACCGGTCAGACTAGAGCGGTAACCACCCACGACATGCAGCGGTTGATGGCGCTGCCACACTGTTCATTTGTTTTGTAAGCACATAGTTTTTCAATCAGCGGTGTCATATTTCATCAGGAACAACGTAGAACAAAAAAGCATATTAGTACAAAAAATAATTTTAGTAAAAGATATATATATATATTTATTGGAAAGAAACTAATCCTGCTGAACTTATGAAATAATCTCTTACAGTGATCCTTCAAAGTTCTGGATCAAGAGGTATTTTGATAGTCCTCTAGAATATTTGAGTGAAACACTCGCCATTTATTGGCTAAAATACTGAAAGCGCATTTTAATAATCGCTGGATCTCGATAAATGGTAATTAAAAACCAGTGTTTTTTCGGTTGAGCTACATCCCGGAAACGATCTAAAAAAATTCTCGTGTAGTCCAAAAGCTTCATCAGCTACAAAAACGAATTGGTTGATAAGAATTTTCTGTATTCGGTAGGCAAAACGGCATTGACAAATTTAACATTTCCGAATATAATTTTTTGACCAAAAGAGATTTTTTTAAAAACTGTTGAGTTCCCTTATGTTTTACATGCACCGATATCAATAAAAGTAAAATAATACTCCAAGTTTACCACAGCGATTAAGAGAACGAAAAAATATTTTTTTATAATTAAAAACAATGAGCCTGTGGTATTTGAATTAATACACCGAAGTGTTTACCATCAATTACTACGCCCCCAGACTATTGGGAAAATTCATTTTCCAATCAAATTTTTCGGCTATATCTAGTCAATTGAGTTTGGAATATAAAATTTTTCTGGTTGTATCTTTCAAATAACTTTACAGGTCTCATGAATAATTGTTTCAATAGTACATTTACCAAAAAAATATTCATACTATAAGGATACAAATGTACTTCCAATAGAAATCTAAATGTTGAGAAATTAAAAATAATAAAAATCAATTTCCAAACGATTTTTAGTAGTGTTGTTATTAGATTAAATAACTACGCTTTTTTTTAATTAATTAATTGGTATCTGACAATTGGATTTAAAATAATTTATTATAATTATACAGTGTTCAATAAGAAAAGAATAATAGATCATTTGTTACAAACAATGATAATAATAGAAACCCGTATGTTACTAAAACTTGTACCAAAATAAAAAGTTTACAGAAAAGAAGTATTTTTCACATTTTCAATAGCCAAAAGCATAATAAAATATATAAGTAGAGAACGGATTTTTAGGTTTATACACATTTTTATTCATCACATTGTATCTGATAACCACCGTTATTCATTGTAATTAATTTGTTTGTATCATATATTAATTGTTTGATTTTCCAAAGAAATGGTCTACAAAATTGTATTAATTGTATTAATACCTGGCATTAATTAATAATTTGTTGATTTTATTAAATACTTAAGCATTGATTATATAATATTTTTTTTGAAAATTTACTTTAAATTTAATTTTATTGACAAAAAATATGATGTACAACAATTAAGTATTGATGTAGTAATTCATTGTATACATAATTCTTACTATAACTTGTTTACAAATTTATGAAGTACTTTAAGTAATATAAATCAAATTATCTGTACATTTACAAGTTTAAAGAATATTAATAGAATATTTTATAATATATATGTAACATATTTTAAGATATTAAGAACCTAAAAATCTTTAATGATAAATTACAATTTGAAGGTTAGGCTCAATCGTTATTTAGCAGAAATTGGTACACATGAATAGTTTTTTTTTTGTTATATATGATAGAATTTTACTTAATAAGTCATCAAATGAGTTTGAAGACATTCGAAATACTTTTCTGAAACATCACTATATTCCGGGAAAATTCGAAAAAACAACCGCTACTTTGACGGGTAACAATAAAAGGGTGTACTCAGTATCTTTTTTTTTTCCATAGGTGAATTCAATAAGCTAAAAGCATTAGCAACTGCAATTATTTTGGCAGTATATTGATAATCTATACTTAGAAATAAAAAAAAAAGTTATATTATAATTATGTAATCACACTTTAACATAAGACTTACTCTTTCGATGGTATTTATTTAATGCATACGAAATTATTTGATTAAATAACATTATATATATTAACATAACAAATAAAAAATAAAATTTAAAAAATAGTAAAATATAATAATAATTATTATTATCATACAATTATAATATATACATGTATAATAAATAAAAATAAACTTTATTTCAGATTAATAATATCTAACTAAATTAACCAAATATGATCAACTCCGCAGACTTTTCGTTTGACAATAAAGCAATAAACAAATAATCAGACTAATTTTTTTTTTTAAATATTTCTTAGTTCAAAATTAGATGTGAAACCGTCATAGTGTGACTTCAAGTGGTTGAACCGCGGCTGTTTGCCCCGTGTAACTGCCCTAATGACAGTACTCTAACACAAATAAATACAGCCAAGTAATAGATTTATTTTTTAATTTAAGTATAGTCACTGGCAACAAAGGTCATTAAATTGAGGTAATTAGAAAATTATATATTGTTCAGTAAGTTATCCCTGTGGATAAGAATACTTCCACGGCCCCTCTGCTAGTCGTAAGAGGAACTACTGAGGTTGCGTCAGGTCGACAGCTGACGTAAAATTTTTGTAAAAAAGTTAAAGTAATCATGAATAAAACTTAGGTGAATTGTCTCATTTCGGATGTACGCGGGGACAACAGTTGAAAAAAAAAATATAATGTTTAGTAAGTAAGGAAACGAGTTTCTATTGTTCTCATTATTTGCCAAATAGACTATAGACAGTTACATAAAAAAAAAATTAATTTTTTCATACTCAAGAAATTTTTTCTAGCTGTGCCCATATATGTAATCTCTGCATGCAAATGCCTCAACATTTTTATCTACGTCTATCTATGTATATATAAGTTCAAACAATTTATAATATAATAAAAATTAATTGTATTGCAATAATTGCTACTGATTATTTTAGGAGTCTCACACGTGAATACCTGACATCATCTCTCGTAAGATTGAAAAAGGTAATATGGGGTGCTAAGGGACTATCCTTTTATTCAATCCAGTTGCTTATACTAGGCCTAAATAATATGTATTCCCATTGTATTGGATGCTCAGGTGGAATCAGGGCCGTCCTAAGGCCGGGGCGAGCGGGGCCCCGCGCTTCGGACTCGTCGTTTGGGCCCCGCGCTAACGCACTTAAATAATCTTAAGTTTTCTTTGAATTAACTATTTACATATATTATAAATGTAGTTTGAATTTTTATTTGACAATATTATATTATTAAATAAATGAAATAGAATGTTATATTATTTTTGAAATAATACTTTATGTATGTTAACATTTGAAATGGTTGAGATTACGACTTACGTGAGTGTAATTTTTTGAGAGAGTTTTTTGGTAGGCCCCGCAAATATAGTTATGCCCTTGGCCCCGCAAAGTGTAGGGACGGCCCTGGGTGGAATAACAGTGTTAAGCGAGTAATATTGTATTTTTGTTCATTTCTTTTAGAGATGTGTTAGATTTCTTTCAACTGATATATGCTTTTAGATTATTTCTTAAGTAATTAATAAATTAATTAAGATTTCAATTGCACCATTTAATTTAAATGTCAAGAATTACCTTGAATTTGATTACTAAGATTTTCACTCTAAAATAATTTATTTATGAAATGTATTATTTTTTATTCAATGTCTAGTTATCATTTAAGTGTTTGAAAAAATTGAAACTAAAAAACTTTTTTTTTGTTGAGAAATTATACAATATTATATGTACAAATAAAAACTAACAATAGTTTTTTTGTTGTTACATTGTTTATTACTCGCATTAAAAATTAATTTATATAGTTTTGAATGTGTGTTAATTCATAGACGTATATTCAATATGATATGGAAATTTAATATAAACTAAATGCCAATATTAATCTTACCAATTAGAACATTACTACTTCCTAGGAAACAAATTTGCATCGTTGACATTCCTATCAAAGTTCAAGGCAATAGTTAAACAAATACGAATTTAAAAAACATATACATATTTTTGTATTACGACTTTACTCTTATCTTATTAACTATACGTAACACATTATTGACTAATAACAAAAAATTGTTATTTTTTTTACAGCATTTAATAGTTTATTATTTTATTTATAATATATGAATTTGTTATGAAGAATAAATATATATATATATATATAAATAACTAATATGGCAAATATAAGTGTACAGTCTTAATTGTGTTAAACAAAACATTGCCTAAAAAATTAAATGAGAGACTTTGGTATTTTTATATTCAATATAAAAATTGGTTGAGTTGTGTCGGTTAAAAAAATACAAACAAAAAGTTTTTATTTGAATAAGTCTAAAACAACAAACATATTTGAAATTATTGTACATAAGTAATTATTTAATACAATATAATAATAAAAAATTAATTAAACAAGTAAATGACGTAAAATATCTTCTTTTTGTAACTGCTGTTCTTTATTTTCAGGGACAATTGGATTACCATGTTCATCCATCCAAAACCATATTTTGTTTGTTTTGCAACATTCCCTGGATATAATTCAATATAATTACAACAATAATTATGTAACAATTTGTTAAATCAGAAGTGTTGAATTTAAAAAGCTTGAATAAAAGATTTTGTTTTTGGAAAATTTATACTCAAAAATGTTGATATGACTATCAAATATATCACATTTAATCAAAACAATATTTATTTTAATAAAATCACTGTCTTTAATAGTAATATCACAAGATTTAATTCTCGATTGATAAATACTACCTTTTAGTTGAAGAAAGTTTCAACTACTCTAATCAAAGCCTTTGTATAATTTATAAATAAACTATGTTAAATAGTTATAGTAAATTCTTGCATGCAATCACGGCTAAGATATAACATAATTTTAAATAAAAATAATAACTATTATATTTAAAAAATAGAGACACCCAGAAGAGTTGCATAATATAATATTAGAGGGTATGATAGATGCAGAATATTCCCAAAACTCTTATATAGGACAAATTAAATGTGATACAAGAGTCAAAACCTTTAAGGAAATAAAAAAAAAGGCAAGTAACCGGATAGAATGGAAAATAGGAGTAGTAAACCAACCATTGGGTTGATAAAAAAAAAAAAATTTTTTTAAAAATGACATATTTAGAAAAATAAATCAATTGGGTCCTTTATCTAATAAGAAATTCAATTTAGAAAATATGTGAAAATATAGATTTATAATTAAGATATTAGCTCTGAATGATGAAAATAAATGGTTTTGTGAGATGTTTTTTAATGCTATATAACCAATGTTTAGAATAAACAGTCTCCTTAGAATTGATTTTATTATAAGCACTTAAAGTGATTGTTCAGGTCAATTATCTCACATATTTGTAAAGAAAAAAACAGCACGACTAAATATTAATTTTTTTAAGTACTATGAAAAATTAAAATATCAATGTATATAAAATAGTACCTAAAAGAAGCATAGGCAGGGGTTGGATTTTGTTCTTCATAAATAGATGATTGATTAGGATGCCAATAATACATTTTGTTGTATGTTCGAGAAAGAGCTCTCATCCATGGTTCTAAATTTTGTTTATATTTACTAATGAGCAAATCATTAAAATAAAATTAAAGTATTCAATACAAAAAAGACTAACTCATTGTAGCATTAATAAATAACATTCCATTTGCCCAACAATACTTGCGCTCATCAAGTGAATACATTTTTACTTGTTTGCGATGATATTTTGACCACCTTAAGTCAATTCTTTCAAATATTTCAGAAATGTTTTCTAAATACTCGGGTTCTTTTACCCTTATTTTAGTTTGATCAGAATCCAAAGTATTCATTGATTTAGCAAAATTTTTGCAATATTCAATTCTTAATAATAAATGTTTATATTAACAACAAAGTAATTTTTCATATGTTTATCAATTACCTGGTTAAATAATGCTCACTACTGATATCAATATTGCCAAGTTTACATGCATCTATTATATGCAATACTTTAACTCTTAGCTGGCCAAGATTTTCTCCTTCTAATTCATATACTAATTCTCCATACACTAATGTACCAGGACTCATTGTAATATTTTTTAATGACTCATTACTGGTCCATCGACCATTATTTAGTTCATACACTTGGCTACCACCTAAACCTAAATAAAAAAGATATTTATTGTAATAATATTAATACAATCTCAATGGTAAGATTCATATAAGTTATACATTATTTATGCTTACTTATGAAAAATGTTGGAGGTTTATAGTCATTTAACAAAACACAATGCCAGTCATATTTGGATTTAATGTTTTTCTGGAAATTCTTTTTATTCAAAATTTCTGGAGTACATTCCAAGAAATCTTTATAAGACAATAAAAAAAAAAGTATACACATTATATGTAGGGTGGTAACATAACTTATGAATAAACACTACTCAGTTTAAAAAAAAAAATTCTCTAATCTGATTGTAACACATTATTTTTGTAACTAGTAATTTTTATAATAAAGAAACTATTTAAATGAATTCCTACTGCAATATCACAATTTTTGATATAATATCATTAACGGGGAAATTAAAATTTTCATATATAATTTAAATAATTATAAGTATTTTTACATTATTATTATTATTATTATAGAGAATTTTCCAGAGACAAATATTACATAACAAGTATAATTATTAAATTTAAACTTGCCTTTTGATCCAGTAATTAAATTGTTACTAGCAATATGAATATCTCCTCTAAAAGGAGCTCGTCTGACATCATCTTTAACATTCCACATTTCTAAGCATTTTTTTTTTAAGTCTTTTTGGCGGTCATCAGCTAAACGATGATCTTTTGTAAAAGCAACTATTTTTGATAAGCTTAATGCTTGAATTTGTCCTAACCTATACAACAGGAAATATTTTTGTTTCAAAAATTTAATTATGATTAACAGGTAAACACATATATCAACAACTTAAATCTAATTGTCATTGAAATACGGAATTGTCTGTCAATGTGGAATAATAACCAATCTATAAAAGTTAATTGTAAATTTTTTGAATAAAAGAGACAATAAAAAATATAAACTTGCAACTTAAGATGTAATGTTAATAAACTTATTCTCTAGACCATTGTATTTGTACAGTAGACATATCATTAAACTTTTATTTAAACTAATAGCTAATTGTTCTTCTTCTTCCTCACCTTAATGCCAACTACTTGGGTTCGGCCACCCTTATCCTAAACTTCCACTTGACACAATCTCCCACATCCTCTACGCTCACATCAGCTGTCCTCATATCGCATTCAATAACATCTCTCCAACTCTTTTTTGGTCTTCCTCTACCTCTTTTTCCTTCAACATTCATTTCTACAACTGTTCTTACGGCTTCTGATTTTTCTCTTCTCATAATATGACCAAACTATTTAAGTCTATTTTCTCTCATCTTATCCACGATTGACGCTACACATATATTCCCTCTTATATGCTCGTTCCTTATCCTAATCTTTTCTAGTTACTCCACTCATCCATCTAAGCATTCTTATCTTTGCTACACTCATTCTCTGCTCTACTTTCTTATCAATCGTCCAACACTCTGAACCATACATCATAGCTCCTATTGAAGAAACTAAACTAATAGCTAATTATATAATAATAAATTAATCACTTGTGGCTATTATTTAAAATTTAAACTATGTTTAAAACAATAATTAGAAACTAAAAAATATTAAAAATATTTAACTCAAAAAGCCACAAAAAATGATTGAAATACGTATTTTGGGAACAATGCTATCATTATCAACACTAAACACATACTGACATCCAGACTGGAAAAAACCGCCTAAGATTTTATATATGTCAGTAGGGGTATATTAAATACCCCTATTGACATTATCACTAAGTATATAGCTAATTTTAATTGAATTTTTAAATTTATATTTATATTGTGTTTATACAATTTCGACATAGATGATCAAAAACTAGATTAAGTAATTTTGACAACTTATCCTTTAATGATTAAATTTTTTAGCTTCGATGTGAAGCTGAGAAGGTATTGGTTTTACTATGATGTGTTTTTTTTTATTTTTTGTGTTTGTTACCACTTTTTCTTAGCTCTCACCGAACCAATTTCTTTCAATTGTACGTCAAAAGATCACAAATCGTATCTAGTCGAAGACACTACCCTCAAAAATTGAAAAAATTTCCCTCGTTCCCAGTAAATGGGGGAAATCTCCAAAAAAATTACAAATTTAAAAATCTCTAATTTTCGAAATTTTTTTACTTAAAACTGCCATAACTTTTTCAAAAATGAACAAATCAGTATAATTTTTTTATGTAGATGCATGATATCATTACCTTTTATTTGGTATATTTTTTTTATAAATCTGATTCTTTACCTGCCTACAGGGGGAGATTCAAAATGACAACTTTTTCACAAAAAAATTACTTTTTCAACTTAATTTTTGAAAATGTTCTGGAAAGTCTGACACTTTTATATATATCTTAAATTAAAGCTAATGTAATGTACTTTATTATGGGGAAAAAAAAAATTCGGACTTTATTTTGTCTTCACAGTAAAACTGGCTACCAAATGCTATTTTTGTGTGAAAATTCTCGATTTTATTTTTTATATTTTTAACTTTATAATGCTATAACTTATTGAAAAGTGTATGAATCAACACAATTTTTTTATGAGAAATAATATTTTTTAATATCCCTTTTTCATTTGACATACTTTACCTTATAATAATAAAAATTGATCACTTGTGGCTAATTAATTAAGTAAAATTAAAACTATAATAAAAATATTATTAATTTAAAAAAAACTAAAAAATATTAAACTCAAAGCCACAAAAAATTAATGAAAAGTCACGGATACGTATTTCGGAAACAATCTTAACATTATCAACGCTAAACACATACTGCGTAACATTGTTTCCGAAATACGTATCCACGACTTTTCATTAATTTTTTGTGGCTTTGAGTTTAATATTTTTAATATTACTTAAATACTTTATCTTAATCAAGATATTAATAAGGAACTAGCAGATCATGTAGCTTTTGGAATAATCTACCAATTTTTTTAAATTAAACACTATCTAAAGATTTGCATCAAAGCCTTTTTTTTTTATAGTGATTTTAATCACTGTCAGATATCATTATACTTGATCCAACTATGCTACGTCACCACTGTACCACGACCCCCCTGTGCTGGGTTTTTTTTTTTTAGTTGTAAATTTATACAAGAACTTACTTGTTATTAGATTTCCATAGATAGTTGAAAAAAATAGAATCTTTAGTTATTTCTTCAAAAGGAACTATACTCAAAATGTCTTCATTAGAGCCTAGTTCATTCCATGTTATATTTACATGAAATAAATACTTTTGAATATCTTCAATATTGTTTTTCATTGATTTACATATAACATATCTTTAAATAATTAATATAGTTTAGTCATAAACTAATGGTTATTTAGTTATAAAAATATGTTACCTTTCAGAGTTTGCTGGTCTACTAGTCACGGGTTTATAAATACTTATTTTTTTAAAACAATGATACAATAAATATAAAAGTCCCGCACTAAATTCAGTAAATATGTCAAATAATTTACACATAAAATGTCCATTGACTTGTAAAATATTTAATGCTGCCAAGGTTTGACATAAATATAAACGTTTCGACAGTATTTCTTGAAAAGTTTCTTGACCTTCCACAGAAAATCCCTAAAAGTTTATTATTCAATAAACAAAAATTTTATAACTTAATTATAGCGCATACTCCATCAGCCATAACAAAATGTACTCCTTTCCCTTGTGTTACATTCATGACAAAATCTTTTAAACTACTGATATTTTTTGGTTTGTAAATATCACCATCTCCAGCTGAACCTAAAATAAAATTACATTTTTATATTAGACATTCAATTTAAAAACGAAAAAATTCAAAATATTTTAGGAATATAGTAGTAAATAATTTAGAATTTAAAATTTTTTTAATCAGAATACATAATAACAAGAAAACTAAACACATAATTATAAATTTAAAACATATTACCATAATAAGTTTGAAAAGATTCAGGAGACCCAGCATAAAAATCATTTAGTTTGAAGTCGTTTTCATTTCTCAATGTAAAACCAATACCTTTTGCTCTCCAACCTTTACGCCAAAGTACATACTCAGAAAACCCACCAGGTCCAGCACAAATATCTGCAAAGTACACTAAGTCACTAGGTCCTGATAACATACTTGACTAAAATAAATACAATGTTTTATTTATAAATAAATAATAACAAATGAATTTTTTTTTTTTAAATTACCCCATTACTATATTTTGGTTCAGTGAACATAAAATCACAAGCCCAATCTATGTTGGCCATTTTCATAGCAGCTCTATTTTGAAATATACCATTTTTTATAGTCTCAAACGGATTAGCTTTGGTTCTGGCTTGTCGAAACTCATGATCATCAATGTTATCCAAAACATTCTAATGTAATAATTAATATTTTATATATATAATTATTAAATTTTACTTTAAAGATGTAATTTACCTTACTCGAGTTTACAACTTTAAAAATTTCTGGATCAGCAAACTCTGTTGTTTGATCATATGTTAACTTTTTTTCACCTGCCTGAATCCAGTACAACATATTTTTATATGTCAATGAAACAGGAGTATCATTTTCTACCCATTCTGTTATTTTTGATAATTCAGTAAGCTACAAATATAATAAACATCACTACTACTTATCAATAGAAACAATATATTTATCTCTTAAAATATAAAAAGAGTTTTTTTTTCATTACCTTTAGTTACATATTATTCCTGAATTTTTTCTATAAGATATGTTAATTTCATATTTTTACAATTACGTTTATTGAAATATGAATATGTAATTATACATGAAATTAGATTATATATAAATATATAATATAAATTATATTATACATAAAATATAAAATATGTATGAAGTGATTTTTTTACTCATCCTATAGTACTAATTATTAACAATTTAAAGTATTGACTAGAGGTGAAGAGAGAATGCTGCTATTTTTATCACTAGACATTTTTCAGCCTCACTCTTCCTCCTACATAGGTTAATAAATGTTAATAACTTCTGAAATACTGATGCAAAAGTTGTTCTCAACTATTAATTTTCTTAATTACATTATTTTTTTATTTTATAAGATAATTAAATATGTATATTAATAAAAATAAAGTTAACATCCCTATAAGACATAAGGGATAAACATAAAAAATATTTTTTAAAAGATGAATAAAGAAATATATGAGAGAAATATATAAAAGTCAAAAAAAGTTATTTTACCAGAAATTGAGTAGCTAGATTTAAAAGAATTACTCTGTATATACAGAGTGATTCATCTAACATTGACTATTTAATTAATCAATAATAAATAATAATAAGTATTTTTGATTTATTTTAATTTCATTTATCACACTAAAAAAATTTTTTTAAAAAAAATGGTAGTACAGTAGAGTTGTGACACAGTATGAACATAACATAGTTGGTACAAGTATAGATGATATATGACAGTGATTAAAATCACTATCATAAGAAACGCTTTGATGAAATTCTATAGGTAGTGTTTAATTTTAAGAAATTGGTGGATTATTTTAAAAGAAAAATTAACTTCTATTTTTTGTTCTACTTTGACTGCCATTTGCACATAGAAAATAGGTTATCGGTACAAATTTTTTTTTTTTGAACTTCTAGTACATAAAATGCGCTTTATGTTAAATATATTTAAAAGACGCAATATTTCCGGAACATTAAATGTTAGATTTTCAAAAATATAATATCAAATGAAAGGGAAATATCTAAGGTTTCAATAAAAACAAAATTATGTTGATTCATTTTTCAAAAGTTATAGCAGTTTTACGAAAAAAAAAAAATGAAAAAAAAAGTCAATATTTACAGATTTTAAAAATTGTAATTTTTTAGGAATTTGCGCCATTTACAGGGAACAAGGGAAATTTTTTCAATTATCGAGAACAATGTCTTCAACTAGATACAAATTGTGATCTTTTGACGTATTATTCAAAGAAATCGGTCTAGTGAGAGCTAAAAAAAAATGGCAACATACACAATCAAAAAAAATTTCATAGTAAAATTAATATTTTCTTAAGTTGCTACGAAGATAAAATGTTCATTATAATTATTCACAATTAATTAAATGATCTACAATAAAAAAAATACCTAATATAATAATATATTTGTATTAAGTATTTTACAATATAATTCATATTTAAATAAACCTAAAAATAGAAATATAAAATCAAAGATTTGTTATAAACAATAATTACCTCTTTCATATCAGAGTTCCAATCTAATATAAAAGCATCTTTAGGCGCTTGTGAACTAAAACCTAACCCTCTTCGGCCTTTTTGTGTAGGTAATTGTACAGGATTAACTGAACCTTGGGCATTTTTTCCTAATCCTTCTCCTTCTTTATAACCAATTTTTTTCTAAAATTGATAATTTTATAGAAAAACTTGGTAGAACAATTAATTTGATAAAATAATAAAAGAATTACCATCAAAGACATTCCTTTATTACTACTTTTTTTTTCGTTTTCAACATAATCTTTGGAAGATTGATCATCTGAAGAATTTGAATCTGATTGATAACTAAATTTTGAACAGTTATCTAAGCTTTGCCTAGTTGATAATTTCTTTTTTTGGTGAGATACAGACTCATATGGATCACTGTCTGAATTATCTATAAAAAATTAAAAAAAAAAAATTATTACCTGAAATTAAACGTGGATATTTTGTAAAAACTTATTTTTTTCTGATATTTAAATATTTCATAATTTAAAAAGAATAATAATTGATATAGTAAGAAATATGGTATCCTAAATAAAATTAACAATTTAAAGTCCTTTAAATTTATAGCCATATTAAATTTATTTCATAAACACTAATCAAATGTTTTTTTGTTGGTCGATGGTAGGGACCAATGTATATTCCAACATTCAAGATAATATTTATGTTATTTATTTTATATACCACATTTAATTTTGTAAAATGTATGAAATTAAATATATTATACATATTTATAATTTGAAATATAAGAAATGTATATCATTATTTTTTTATTAAAACTGTAATCCTATGATTTCTACTTTAAAACTTTAAATTATTATATAATTGTGTTTCAAAATTAATTTTACCAGAACCAATTGTATTCTTCATAAAACTGCAAGGGTTACTCAAATAAGATTTTTCTTCACTGTTTAGTGCATTTACATTAACAAAATTACTTTCAAGAGTATCTTCCATATTTTCAGAATTCTAAGATATTTAAAATCACAACTAAATGTTATTAATTGGGAACAGGCGTAACTAGGAGGCTTGGGAAGTTAAGGGAATAAGTCAATGAAGAAAATATTTGTATATTGTTAAACATCATTAGGGTCAAAAAAAGAAAAGAGCAAAAGAACCTCCATAGACATTTTTTTGTTACGCCTAGTTCTTAAGGTTGTATATGTATTTATTACTTCAGATGATACTGGAATAGTTGATTTATGTTCAAAGTTTGGGTACTTTTTTGGTTGTTTATTTTTTTTTTGTTTCTTAGCTTTTTTGACATTATCAGCAACATATGGAAGATCAGATTGTCTCCCATCGTTAGTATAAAATTTAGATGTCACTGTATCTTCATAAGTTCTCTTTTTTGTTTTCTTTTTCTTAGTATGTAAAATTTGAAACATTTCGTCTTCTAGAGATACATCACTGCTATCTGACAGATTAGCTGACCTAAAAATATTTAATCAAAACATAAAAATAATTCATTATTTTTCAAATAGTACTCACAACATTTTAGAAAAATTTACTGAGCGTTTAATCTAAAATATACTACTTAATTTCATGTAAAAATTAAAAAAAATTTATCCAGTGATGATAAAAAAACAACTAAAAAGTTTGTTTATTTACATATTACAAATACCACTGATCATACAAAATACGTTAACAATAAATTCTATAAAAATGATAGAAAAATTGTCATAATTATATAGTAATATGCAACGTTTTATGAACTATTAAATTATTTCTTTAATTATGTCGTTCATAATGATAGTGCGTTTATTTTACGTTGGATACTTGATTTTAAAGACTGAAAGAATAACGATCGAAAATTAGAGATAACAATGTTATCTATCGTGAATTCGTTACCATTTCATGGTCATGAACTAGCTTAAGATTAAATTTTGTGGTCTAGTAGTCTACAGAAAAGATAATATCAAAAGAGAGTAAATAACTTACCCCTTTTATATAAGGTGTATTGTCATTATTTCGTTTTTTATTGTTTTGCTAAAGGTTAATCAACGCAAAAAGGATTTTCTATACATTGTCCCTTTAACTGATACGTTGAGAGTATATGTCTGAGTGGTTAAGCGATGAAACTATCAACCTCTAGGTCGTCCGTATGGCTTCTAAATTTTAGGGAGTATAGAAGGTTGAAAATTCTCCATATAAACTGCTTTAATTATGATTATTATCGAAAAATGTATCCATTTTTGTTCCCATCAACATACTTGAATAGAATTAAGAGTCGATCAATCACAGGTATATAAAAATAAATTATATATGTTTTGTCTATTTTATTTTATAATATATTTACGGGATCAATCAGTCGCCACCTTAGCAGTGATCAAAAACTAAGATAAAATGGACTATACACAACAAAGCTTTATCAGGCGATCCGGTTTTGTTATACATTTCCTGAAGAAGTTAAAATTTTGAAGAAACAGTGCACTCTACTATATTACATGTATTTTTATGAGTTTGTCACCAAATCTCACTGTTAACCAAATATTCCCTCCTCTACAAAATTTCTATTATAAAATCTGATCGCACTCCCTATTCTGACAACCTTATTTAATAACTAAATACTATTGAAAAACATTTGTTTTTGAAAACAATTAGACGAATCGACCGTTTTAGATAATCAATTTGTTCTATAGGATTTACTTGATAGTGCCCCCCACTGTCGCTGATGTTCATATAGGTTGTTTGCTATTTATTCTCAGATGTGTGATGACATGGATACTTAGAAACAGTGACATACGCTTTGCTACTCTACTGGCTACCTCACCATAATAAGGTTGTGTCAGAACAACAGCCTGTGTAAAAATCTGTTAAATTGCAAAGTGAAACAACCCCAAATATTTGAGATAGAGCTAAGGAAATAATGATGAATAATAATGTCACTATATGCTTAGTTTTACATTCCCACACTAAAAATAGATATTATTTGGAAAATATGTCTCCTCACCTTATGACAAATAATACTATAGGTATTAAATACAATTAATAACTCAGTAGAAATACATTCTTGCATACCAAATAATTTTAGGTATATTAATTTTATTATGTTTTTTTTTTAAGAATAAATTCTTTATAAGTTGTTTTTATTAAATTAACTGATAAATTTTCAAACTAATTAACTTTTCATATTCAAATTATAAATATATAAGCAAAAATACTGAACAGTACTGACTTTTGTCAATCCTAGTTGTTATTGCTCAATTTCCAAACTTATTGGTTCTAAAAGGATTCTAAATATTAAAAAAATTAACAACATAATTATAGGGAATAATGTCTTTAATTATACATAATAATAAGAATCAAAATATTAATATTTTGTACACATTTTAAATAACATAATAATTTCAAATAAAAAATGAAATTATTTTGTATAATTATCGGTTTATCAAATTCCATTATGCTATAATATATTTCACAAAAAATTAAATATGAATTATAGTTTAATATAATATTATTATAAATACTAATTGGATATAATTATATATCTTTTAATATTGACATTGTAGTAATTACACACAATAGTTATTTTTTTTTACATAATAGTATGAAAATGATAAAAGATATACTTATGAATTACGAATACCTAATTGATGTTCAAGTTCAGCTCGCTTTTGTTGAACTTTTGAATAAAAATAACGGTTAACAGCTTCTTGAGTCCAGGGTTGATAATAAAATTCAGCTCTACGCTCCTCTTCAGGGTTTCCAACCACATCTGTCATTGTCTAAATTTATAATTCATTGTAAGATGTAAATAAAAATTATGTTACACTATTAATAACATTAAAAAGTAACTCTAAGTTAGAACATAAGTCATGTTTATGTGGAATACTATCAAGGAAGGAAGAAATGATAAAGTTGGCAATATACTAATTTACTATGTAGAAGTAATCATTATATAGTCAAACTATGTTTGAATTTTGTATTTTAATGACACAAAATTTGATTACATTAAATTTCATTATACAAGTAAAATAAATACTGTTAAAAAATAAAGTACCTTTAAATCTCGAGTCTGTGAGATAATCCACTTATAGATAAATTGCTGAGGATCTTTAGCAAAACTTAAAAAGAATTCTCTGTTTGTTTTCAGCTGGTTAATAGTTTCAACAGTTTCATGGATTTTATTATCGAGACTCTAAATAATAGAAATAGTTACTATAATTTTAAAATTTTGAAAACATTTAATATTTTACCTGTATTTCTTGTTGGCTAGCAGTGGAAAGTAAGAAATTATTCATTTGTGCTTTCAAAGTATCATCTACTTCAACATCTATATCATAGCATGCAGTTTGCTTTTGTTCAACTCCTTCAACACTACAATAAAAAAAATAAAAGAAAGAAAATTTGGTTTTGATTAAAATATATGATAAAAGTACTTTTTATTTTACCTGATTATATGATTTATTACAATAGGATCAGGGGGATGGAGTAAAGTATTAAGTCTTTGAGGAACTTCAGCAAACTTCATTCGAGAGCAATTGAAAATTTGCTCTAGATACTTATCACAATTAATATATTCTTTTTCATGTGAATCCTGCAATAAAGAAAACATTTTATCAATGAAAAACTAAATATATTTAAGAAAAAAAGGATATTTTAGTAAGAACTAAGAATATCAAAACATTGGACACATTTTATTTTCCAAACAACCATTTAATTAAAATTATGAATGTTTGAGGTAATTATTAGAAAGTGAAAGAAAGACTTTTTCGAAAAAGATTTATTGGTAATACAATATAACAGAATTAAAAAATTTAAATTGAACATATTCAACTTTTGATGAGTATATTTTATATTATAAGTTTACCCAGTCAATAATATTCATTGAAACTAACCAAATTCAGAAGCAAAAAAAAAAAAAATTGCTATAAATATTACTACATATGAGATTTTTGTAAATATTCACCTGCAATTTATGAGTTTTTATGAATTGCCACAATGCACTTATAATAACTGGTCGTGTCTGAGTATGAACACCTAACAGTCTAGCTAATCTTTGATCCAATTTAAATTGAAGTGGTTGATAGTCAAGTAATAATAAAATAGTGCAACGGACATTTTTATCTCCTGGACGTTTAACCTAGAAAATAAATATATTTTTTTTAAAAATATATAGTAAAAACATATACAATAGAATACTTGGAATCCATCAGTTTCTTGTGTAGTAGCAGTACGATGCCATTCTACTAAGTGATTGTCAGGACCATATAAATCTTTATCAAGTTCAATAACGAGGGACTTGAAAAATGATGAGAATTTTCTTTTAATCTATAACATTAACTTAAATTAAATTGATATTATAGTTATTTTTAATTTATAATAATTTCTGAAATATTTTCATAATATTTTAGACTTTTTTATATAAATGTAAAAATATTAAATATTAAATCAAGATTGCTTAAATATACATTCCCTGACTTTTTTAGACACATTTAAAAATTTTCCATAACTATCAACAGGAGCCCAGATTTGAAAACAATAATATAGTGAACTAAAATATAATTTTAAATACAGATTTTTACACAAAAAAATTATTTTGTTGTTTTAATATCTATTATTGAATTGATAATAATAACTCAGTATTAGTTATACTTATTCATTGATAATATAAATTTAAACAATAATGTTTTTTTTTATTTCAAACTCAGGTTCTAGTAAAAATTTAGGATGTTTTAATGATCTCCAAGACTATTTAAAGATACCATGATTTATTTAGTTTATTTAGTCTTATAGGAACTACATTTAATAATAACAAAATTTAATACCTTAGTAGGTTCATTTTTTGAGTCTTCCAACAAACGGCCTTCAACTCTTAATTCCCATGAAGCCACACTTCCTTCTTCATTTTCACCTGGTTCTTTAGCAGGATAAAATGTATTAGATATAAAGATACGGAGCTTTCGTTTTTGTTTCATTGGTCTTTTTAATGCTTCCTAAAAAATTAAAGCAGAATTAATATATCAATTAAATACAATTATATTGTTAATAAAGATATAAAAATTATATATTATTTGTTATATAACCTAAATTAAAAAATTTTTAAAGGTGGTATAAAACATTAAATGTTTCTTTAAATTTCTTAATAATAATACTTTTAAACATTATAAAGTCAAATACTGCTAAAATAAAAGAACTGAAAAGTTATAGTAATTAACATATTAATATAATTTATATTTTATCATTAATATACTTCATAAAAATAGTAATACTATCACACGTTTTGCATTAATTCCATCAAACTTATAATTCAAATTATAATGTAATAAGAGAAATTAGTTCTTTTGCTTACTTTTTTTGGATACTAGCAAGGATTTGAAATCTTAAGAAATTGTGTAGTATTTAATACATAGTACATTTTTTTTTTTTGCATATTTAAGAATATTTAATGAAAAATGAATATTTTATAAAAAAAGAATATATGATAATGAATTTATTTATTTATTAGAATTTCAATGTTTTTTCATGTGTATTAGTTTATTACACAAGAATTTTTTTCTAAAAAAGAGTTATTTATACAAATACACATAGGATAAAGAATGTTGTAAGAAAAAAACTGTTAAATTAAATTATCATTTTAAAAATAGGAGTTTTCATTAATAAAATTAAACATATGATTTTTTAACGCAGGAGGAATAAAAAAAAAAGTTATTTAACTACATATTACAGCAGAATTTTTTTTCCTTTACTAAAATTTAAAATTTCCAATAGTTTCTATTGAAACGAGTAGAATGTAAATCTATAAAATGTGTGCTTTACCTATTTTCAATCACTTTGTATACCTAGATAGAACACTTTTTAATTTGGAAAATAAAAGCATAAATTAATATGGTCAAAAATTGTTTATGTTTATAAAATTTTATTTTGAATTTAAGATATAGAAATTAAAATAAAATAGTATTTTTAGCATATTTCACTAATTTTGTAAAGAATATAAGAATATTTTTTTTGAGAATATTAGTACTATATATTGGCTATTTTAACATAATATTATTTTGATCCATAGTTATAATTAAAATCATTATACAATTACCTGAATATCTAATCGTTTTCTCATAATAGTAGAATCCAATTTTCTTTCAAATGCCAATAAATCCATGTATGCTTGTGATTCAGGAACAAGATCACGTACTTTCTGTGGTAATATTTTGTCAGCCAATTTTTTCTTTTTTTTACTCATCATGCTGGTTTGTACTTGCATATTATGAGGAAAATCTCTAAAAATGTTATTAAGTTGGATTATAATTGAGTAAAATAAAAATGTGTTTATATCATGAAAGATTTTACTTAATATTTTCAATAAATAAAAGGCCAATGAGATTTAAATTCTTACACCATGAACTAAAAATGAACTATAAAAATGAAAAATAGAACTCTTTCACATTTTGATGTATATTCTCAGATATTTAATTTAATATTCTAATTGTATTACCCTTTTCCCATAGGAGTTTGATTTCGAGCATCAGCTGGACGCTTTCCTGGTGTTTGTTGATTTGGTGTTATTGGACCTGTACCATGTCTCATAGGACTAAACCCTTGAGGCGGTGGTCCACGAGATCCCATTAGAGCATTTGGTGGAACACCTTGTTGCATTGGTGCTCCTTGCTGATATATACTTGGTCGTTGTTGCATTTGCTGTGAAAAAAATTTACAAATGAATATTTGCGACACTAAGCAATTAACATAAAAAATTTAATAGTATCATACGGGATAACTCTGATTTGGATATTGTCCAAATCTATTTTGAACGTTAGGGTTAGCAGGAGATGGAGGAAAATTCGACATTTTGTTAAATTACTTGAATAAAAATTAGAGTATTGACGTTTAAAAATTATTATAACTTCAGTTTACTAGTTATTTCTACATTAAATTTAAATTTTACACAACTAAGTTGTTATCAAAATAACTTTAAGCTTAACTTACTAATGAAAAAAATTATACTATATTAAAAACGTCGAGTTAAGATAACAATCTTAAAAAATATAAATTTGTTTAAATATGGTTAAGATATGATTTACTCATACGGCGAATAATATAAACCCCAAACAACAAAATCATTATCAGCCGCCATACACGCTTTACACAGCTATAACCATTCTTGAAACATGGTAATAAACTTGGTATCTAATGAATGTTTAATTCTTTTTTTTGTGAAAGATATAATGATAAATAGTTTGATAAAGTTGTCATAGCTTTTCTTATAGTAATCTTGGGTAAATTAACTGTTTTTGGTGTTCCTATTTTTTTTGTGGTAAATGTGTTACAAAACTTTATAATTTATGTACGTCAACCGGCTCTATGAATTCTATAAATTTATTTACATACTTATTAAAGATTCCTCGTAAAAACTCTAAGTGATTATAATTTACTGTGAGTCTTATTGAATCTACTATTGGTAAATTACCTAAAACTATGTGATATTCTATTATTGTATCTAACTAAAGTAATTCATTAGCAGTTATATTCTTAAATTTAACTTGTTTGTTAATGATCCAGTGCTCTTTCTCGGTTTTGTGGATTTCAGTTTAGGGGCTTGAGAGTGGTAGATCCCTTAGTAAAAATGATTGCACAGTGAATATTCCTTTATTTTTCTTTTTGGGGAGGAGGAATAAAAAATTTTAATAAACCCTAAATACTTCAATGGTAAGCCTGGGGCATATGCTTGATACTTGTGTCTGTACTGTATAACTTATACTAAACTATATGTATCTTAAGCTAACAACTAATTAACTATTTAAATTGTCAACTTATAGAAAACTTAACTAAAAATAACATGGCATATTCTACAAGTGTTAACATAAGCATTGAGACTCCCGCTGAAAATATAATCCAAGAAATTTCATATGATGGACAAGAAGTATACCAACCGTAAGTTATTTTAAAACAGTTATTAAAAAAGAAAAATTATTGTTATATAAACATTGTTTGCATAATTTTTAGGCCACTTTCTATGTCAGATAATTTATCTAAACTAGCTCAGAGGATTGATTTTAGTAAGGTAGATCAAGATGATGATAACCAGCCTGAAGCTGAAATAAAATCTGAAAATGATACTAAGGAACAACCACTAAATGCTTCAGCATCTGGATGGATTGATTCTGTTATTTCTAAATTAAAGTAATTCTCAAATGTTTTATCAAAAAAATTATTGTATTTTATATAATTTCCATGTTTGTTTATTTACATAGGCGTGCTGCTACAGAAATTTGTGTTATTTCAGATGTATTAGCTATCACAAAAGAAAAAAGATATATGATGTTAGATCCTATACAAAATGAGTTAATCGAAACAAAACCTATGGCTCAAATTTATCTTCGAAAAAAAGTATCTAAAATTTAATTTTTCTAAACATAAAATTTGCATTTTTTACTCAATTCCCGTAATTTTGAATTATATTTTAGTAAATAATCATAATTAAAATAAATCAATTTTTTATAAATAATATTGTGATAATGATATTTACAAATTCTACATTACAAAAAAATGTTCTCCTTTGGTCCTCACTCATAATTTTTAAAACTTTCTTATGCTAACAGTTTTTAATTTGATATGGTTCAAAAAAAATTTTATTTAGGCTTTGGCGAGTGCATCAAATATTATTATGTCTGCAGTAGACCGCTTAAGAAGTAGTCAAAATGAATTTTTAAGAAATAGAACAACTCCTGATTTTCATATTGAATTATTAAGACTTCGACAAAATTGGAGATTAAAAAAAGTTTCTACAGCTATTATAGGAGATTTAAGCTACAAAACTGGTAAATAATTTTCAGCTTCAATGTAAAGCTAAGGTAGTATTAATTTTATCATGATGTGTTTATTTATTTTTTTTGTCTCTGTTACTACTTTTTCTCAGCTTTCACTGAACAAATATTTTTTAATAATACGTTAAAAGATCAAAATTTGTATCTAGTTAAAGACATTACCCTTAAATATTGAAAAATATTCCTTTGTTCCTAATTAATGAGAGAAATTTCCAAAAAAAGTACAATTTTTAAAATAGGTAAATTTTGACATTTTTTTCATAAAACTGTCATAATTTTTTGTAAAATGAATGAATCAAAACAATTTCTAATATAAATAGCTTAGATATTTCCCTATCATTTAATATAAATTTTATAAGAATCAGACCTTTTACCTGCTTCAAAGTAGCAACTTTTGCATCAAAATTAAATTTTTTCAACTTCTGAAAATGTTCCGGAAATACTCTGAATTTCAAAAATATGTTAAATTAAAGCTTATGTTTCATACTATAAGTTAAAAAAAAAATTTATCCAGCTACCTTATCTTCTTAGGGCAAATGGCTGCTGGAATTGAACAAAAGATGTAATTTTTGTGTAAAAATCACCATCTATTGTGTTGTTATAATTTTTTTTCTATTAACTTGTCTATATTTTAGGTCAACAGTATAGTTAAAAATGTGGGAATAAGTACCTCACTCAACCCCCTTTTACAAAATTTTTATAAAAATTATTTAAGAGTTGGTATTAAATAATTTACAGCATTTAATGTCATTCTAATAATTATATTAAAAGGAAGGGGCTGCCCTTTCCTAAAAATAATGTTGTAACTATCATTGGCTTATAATAAATTGAGATAACAAAACACAGGACGATTTTTTAAGTAGCTACTCTTGTCCACTCGATTTCTTTAAAAATTATAATTATATTAAGAAAATTCTTTTTGGTATTTTTTAGTTTCATATATTTCTTAATTTATTAATTCTAATAATTTTTTTAAATCATCCTTTAAACTTTATAAAGGTGTTTTATAACTTTATTTTTTTTAATGATAACATACATATTTAACTAGCTTATAAAATAAAAAATTTAATTAAGAAAACTAGTTGATGACAACTTTTGACCCATTATTTCAGTAGTTATAACTAGTGATGGGAAATATCGAATAGTAACTATCGAACTATTCAATAGTCATTCAAAAAATATTCTAATAGTAGAAAAGATATTTGATAGTTACATAATATATTCGAATAGTTTATGCTAAAAATAAACTATTCGGTTGTATAAACACAATTTGAATAGTTATTCAATAGTTTAAAATATTCAAAAATGCCCATCACTAGTTATAACTATTTAAAAATATTAATTGGAGTTAAAGTGTGGGTTATGTATTTTTTATCATTAGTCTGTCACAGTATTTTTCTACTCTATGTATAAAAATGTTAATAACTTCTCAATAATTAAAAAAAAATTTTATTTTAATTATTTTGTCTGACCAGTCATTTTCTTAATTAGATCATTTTATATTTATTAGCTAGTTAATTATTTATGGGACCATTTAAAGAATAAAGTTGTTACCTTTATAAAGTTTAAAAAACTTTTTTTTTCAAATTTATTATCAATTGTAATAAATTATAGAATAAAAAAACTTTTATATAAAATAATATTTACATAACAGTTGATTATGAAATTTATTTTTATAATGTGTTACATGTTTATTTAAATAAAATAATTACGCAATTTTAGCTGGTTCTAAATTTGGTCAAAGTGGTATGTTTGAAGTGACAAAAGCAGAAGATGATACTCATCAAAATTTAGCAGGATCAAATGGTAGTCCTTCATCTTCTCCTGTACAAACTGCAGCAGTTGTAAAATCACCTTCAGCGCTTAGAGTGACAATTCCAGCTGAACTTCAAGGAGTGTCATACATTATGGTTTTATGTCAAAAAGGTTGTTAAAAATTTTAATTGTTAATTTTTCAATATTTATAACTTTTATCCTTTTTCTAGACCAAGAAAATATTTTCAATACATCTTTTAATTTATTGGGGTCTGCCCCAGCAACACCGAATCCTGATATGCATTGGCAACAAAAATTAGAAGCTGCACAAAATGTATTATTTTGCAAAGAACTGTTTAATCAACTTGCTAGGGAAGCTGTCCAATTACAAGCTACTATTCCTCATATGGTTGTTGGAAATCAAATAACAGCAACAGTATGTATATGATTTTATTTTATTTTTTTATATATAAAATTTTATGTTTTTGAATTATTTTTCTATTCAATTCAGTTCAATAATATGAAATAAAATATATTTATGTTTATTTTTGAGATATTAATTTATGATAAAAAGTAATTTCATATTTGTTAAAAACTAAATTATTATAGTTTTTCACTCATAAGAAGTTTTATTAAAACAACAAGATTTTAAAACAGTTTCCTCTAATCTTTATTCAATATTTATATGTTATTATGTATTTTAATTAATAAAAAGGAATCTATAATTTTCAGGTATTTCCTGGTATACAATTAATCATTGGCCTATGCCATAGTTCAACAGGTGGAAACTCAAATGGTGTGTTACCACCAAAAACTGATCATGATCATGTACTAGAACATTCGCTTCATCAACTTCTTAGAGAAGTTCATCATAAAAATACTCATCAACCATTCCCACATCCATCTTCAGGTCCTTTAGGACCAAGTAAACGACGGGCTGTTGCAGGACCTAATGCAGCAGATCGTTTTGATTTATTAGAAATGTCAAAAAGGTTAGTGTGCCTTTAAATTATTTTCTAAGATAAAAATATCTTTATGAATTATAATTAAAATTATTTAAATATAAATTTTAGCCTCATACTCCATAATAAAAATGTTGAGTTTAATAAATTATTTGTTGCTAATTTCTCGTTTTTGTAGATTTAATTTATTTTGAATAATTTTAATTTATATCACCATTATTGCTGAAAAAAATGATATGATTATTTAATTATATGATAATTTAAGTTATGATAGACATGGGCAATAACTGCCTATGCACTGAGACCTGTAAATCCTATATATAAATATATACATATAGGGTGTCCTATTTAGTCACCAATATATTTGTTAAAAAAGTTCTGTATCATTTTGGGTTTTAGGTTTTTGATCTCTTCTTTTTCAAGAAAAGATTTTCCCAATTGTTTATATCTTAACATGACTAGGATGTCACATTCACATATACACATAAATGAGTCTTCTTCTATTTTACACTTTTTTGAATATTGGTGGTTCTATCATCTCTTTTATATAAAGATGTTTAAGTATGTGACTGTGTCCTGTTAGTAGTCCATTGGATTGCTTATTTTATATCTAGTAATGTTATTAAGACCCCTTAGCCGTCTTGAACATTTTAGATTGTCTGGGTACTACAAGGTAACTTGATATCTTTCAAATACTAATACCTATCCTTCCTTATTTCTTGGAACTTTCTGTATAAATAAAAAACCCTTATTTTCTAGTTAAGTGGTTTATATTCCATTCTTTAAGAGTTAAATTCTCAACTGTTTTAGGGATGTTATTTTGAAAAATAGGTCTGATATAATCCAAGATACATCCAAATATTAAGTTCTGTGACATGTCCTCTATGTAACTATGGCNAGGGATGTTATTTTGAAAAATAGGTCTGATATAATCCAAGATACATCCAAATATTAAGTTCTGTGACATGTCCTCTATGTAACCATGGCTTTTTTAACACGCTTATATTAGTTTCACGTGTATGTTGTTTGTCGTTTTGTTGTAAGTTTGTAACTCCACGCGGCACGTGTTATTATGTCGCGTATGCCGTCGTCTATGACCTTGAGACTAGACCGTCGTAACGCATTCGCCCCACCTCGTTCACCATTAGCCGGCAACACTATTTTTTTCTGTATAATTTTGAGTATTTGACTGACCAACACCGCGCGTTATACGCCGCGGTGCAAAGTCCAGCAAGTGCCGCACGGCCGACGACGTACCGCCGCTAATGATACCGTAGT